CCTCAGTGAATTATTGAAACCTTTTCTCTCCTACAATTTCTAGAGAGAATCAGCAGCGCTTGCAGGTTGATTTTGCTAAGATGATATCAGACTCTCTGCAGAAAAGACAAACAGAAGAATTCCAGATTCAAAAGCTTTTACGTGTACCTAGTTATCACAAAGGCACCCTGGAATATCTGCAAGTGGCTACTATAGAAACTTCCAGCACTTACCTGTAATACTGGACAAAGAGTATATCTCTTGAATTTCAGCAAGCTAGCACTAAGTATGATAGACCTCACACAGTCCACATATTTTCATTATTGTAGACAGCAGAGGTGGCTGTGGAGAAAAACACGGTCTTTTCTTTGAGTGTTCGCTATAATAAATAATCTTTGCTGCACTGGAAAAATACAGATGGTGTAATGTAAGATGCTGCTTCTAGATGATTGGAAGCTTCACTGATACACTACTTCCTGAAAGTAGGGAAGAACAAAATAAGGTTTCCAGATGACACCTACCTGCACATCCAGTGTGATACTTTGGGGCTGAAGTAGAAGAAGAAGAAGAGATTGGCTTTATACCCCGCCCTTCACTACCCAAAGGTGTCTCAGAGTGGCTTACAAACTCCTTTCCCTTCCCCTTCCCACAACAGACACCCTGTGAGGTAGGTGGGGCTGAGAGAACTGACAGAAACTGCACTTTTTCAAGAAAAGTTGTGCCAGAATTATGGCTTGCCCAAGGTCATCCAGCCAGGTGCAAGTGGAGGAGTGGGGAATCAAACCCGGTTCTCCCAGATTGGAGTCCACACTTGCCCAGTATAATTAACTTTTTATGCACTATTAGAAATGTACTGAAGCTGTGTGGACTGCATAGGTGATCCTGGTCCAAGATGGACAGACAAAGACTGCTGGAGAAATATCTGGTGCAATTTGAAGGTATACGCAGACTGCATCCCAAGGTCTTGTGTACATCTGTTCACTGAATGAACATCTGTTCTTGCTGGAAACTGCTGTCTGATCACACCATCATTTTTTTAAAACTAAAACCAGCTGCATTTTTAATGAACCTCTATCTTACATTTAGGTAGCTTATACTGCAAACACTTTTTCCTATTATATTAAGAGTCTGAAGTATTTTATATCTGGTATTTAAAATATGTTGATATACTATTCACTTTTATCATAGTGATTTGTCATGATTTACTGGACATGTTATGTTTGGAAAAACGAATATCAGTGTATTTGAAAGAAAAATAAAACATTTTGGATACAGTTCTGGATATTTTGTTGTGTTGACTCATGCTATATTGCTAGAGATGTAACTGGAGAATCTAACAGTCAGCAAAATCAAATGAAAGCTTGCACAATTAGGCTTTCATAGCATTTCCCCCCATTTCTTTTTTTGGGAGAATTAAAAATACCAGGACAGCTGTGGAAAACCTCTCTTAAATTAAATTTCGAAGCTGCACTTCAACTTTGTGTAAAGTTTAACAAACGGACTGGGCAATTAGCTGAGATGAACATGGTAAGTTCTTTTAGTGCTTTTTAAGGTTAAATCTATTGCCTTGAATTGTGCCCAGAATACAATCCGAAGCCAGTGTATATACAAGAACACTGGGATATTGTGCTTGTGGTGACTGGCCCTAGTTATGAAGTGGTATGTTATACTCCATGTTTGCTGAAATATCCAGTTAGTCTCTAAGTATAGTTCCATGTCTCCTGAAGAAATCCTCACTGTACTCAGTTGATCTGAAAAATGATCAGATGGTAGCAAATATCCCCTTTCACGGCATGACACTTAAGTGAATGATTATTGTGCAACTCCAGACTCTCTTGGATGAAATGGATTATTTAGAAACAGTTCAGTATAGTTTCTGACATGGCTTTGGATCTCATACTGCCTTAGGCTTGAAGGCTGCATCCACATGGGGATTTTCCCCACAAGGAAAGCAGGAAACCCCTAAATCAAAAGAGAACATGCACACACACACTGTTGCTTGGGACTTTCCATTCTGTTTTTTCTCCAGTTCAAAAAGGAATGTTGGGAGTGGCCATTGTAGAGTGTCTGCAGATACTCCTTTCATTAGCACTTCATGGAAGGAGCGTGGAGCTAAGCCGCATTTTCAGAATTGAGACAGCTTGCTGCCGTGTACCATTCTCATCTCTTTAGCTCTTTAAAGGGATTTTTCCTATTTCTCTGACA